ATATCAGACGTGCCGATTTACAAGTACATAAATGCACATGTACATGTCTTTATTTCATAACATGAAGAAATTGTACATAAAAAATACTTGAAGTATTTTAAAATTTAGAAATATGTTTTGTATACATGTACATGTAATTATATGAATAGAAACGCTTTATGGTATTTCTAAGAACGGTAACTCTACTTCGTGTTTCCTAAAATATGGGAAATTCAAATCATCGCCAAATTCGTTATACCGCCATGATTTCTAAATTACAAAAGGTGGCGGTTTATCGAGAATTAACTGTAGATACTGTTGCTTTTTTTTTTTTTCAAAATTGTATTTTTATTTTTAGTAAATATACAGACTTACAATTATTTTTAGTTAAAATTGTTTCTCTGTGATATGAACAAAACATTAAACATACATGTACTACCAATTTTATTGCATATATCTATATTTATGAAACAAATCATATATGCATGTGAACCAGTTTCAACAGATGACAGATTTTTCTGTTGTTTCCCGATCATGACAAGGGGCACAAGGCGGGTGTGACTGATTGGCAGGGGATGCTCACTCCTCCATGGCACCTGTTCCCACCTCTGATGTTTTGGAGGTCTGTGTTTGCTCTGCTCCTATTTTGTATTGTTTTATGGACTTTTGATTTGGAATACTGTTCGTTATCTCCATATGTTTCATTGATTCTTACTATTATATCAGAAATAGCACCTCAAATATCACAATAGCTTTAGCAATTTTACTCTTCCGCATAAACATGCACTGCAGATTTAACTTTTATTCATGTCTTCATTTTAAAATTCAAAGTAATAATTAAAACATATATACTTTCATTTAGCTCTGGTTGACTTACGATTACAGAGTTTTTTCAGCTGTGTAATGAACGCCAGAGTACTGGAGGAAGATTTCTCCTCTTGTTCCACCTCGTAACATTTAGATCTAACCAAGAGTTTATATAACTCAGACTGCATCTGTGTCAAACGACAGCATACTATCTGTTCAACTGGAAATGAAAAAGAAGGCAATTAACTCTGCGACAGAGGAATTATTTTGTAGTTAATAACTCTAGATACTTTTTGAAACTATAAGACATTTTTATTTATTTGACAGAGGGGGTAAATATTGTGATTGTATGTGGATTGCTACATAGAATGTGGATTAGCAAAGGATAGGACTGGGTGGAGGGACTGTGTGGCTGCCTTATGTGCCACCTGGCACGAAGAGGCCTAAGTAAGTAAGTACATGGATTGCTACAATGTGAAGATTTGTGGGGATAAAATTTTATTAATAACTTACTGTATACAGGAAAATTTTCGCCCCCGTTTTATTTTCGCCCCTTCGCCCTCTTCTTGATTGGGCGAATTTAAAACGGGGCGAATTCAAATTACATAGTAGAATTTCTTAAACAGAACTATGACAGGGCGAATTTAAAACGGGCAAAATTGTTTGCAAGTGCAAAAGGGCAAAAATAACACAAGGCGAAAATAACCCTGTATACAGTATTTTCTTCAGGAGGGTTTAAATTGCTTCACTGAGAATCATGTTTTGAAATTATCAGACAAACCTTTAACTGGTAAATATCTGGTCAGGAGGGCTTGAGTTCTTCTAATGATGCACTTGTTCACAATGTCTGCCAACTACAAAATATTACAACATCTGCAGATTCCTATTTTATCTGAATACTCTTCACTGATGTTCATCCCAATGGAAGAACTGACTTTCAATATTCCCTTGGATATTCTTAATCTTTTGATTTATACATGAATTGCTGGAAACATACTTTTTCTGCTTTGAATTAATTTATGTTACATGTATGTATGAGATAAGATTTTCTGGAAAGCCTTGTCAGGGAGTAATTAGAGTGCAGTAAAGAAATACAGTGTCATTCCAATAAATTTGCCTATCTGATTTCCTACCACTCATTGATTGAACCAAAATTATAATTCCAAAGAAAAAATTACCCAATGGAAATAAAATATGTTTACAGTACATAAAGAATTTTTGTTTTTAATTTTTTGTTGTTGTTGATAAAATCTGAAAGTCATCACATATTATTACAGTAAAACTCATTTAGTACGAACACGGATAAAGCGAATTCACGTATATAGCGAAGTTTTTCTGGGTCCCCGGCAAAATTCTTAATAAATCCTTGTAAAATTTTACGGTTATACCGAACTCTGATATAACAAATTTACGGATATAGCAAACTGATTTTGGGTCCCGTTGAAGTTAAATATAATGAGATTTACATCTTTTATAACGAACTTTCAAAGACCTCAAAATTTGACAAATTGAACTGACTTATTTTTGTTCATGGAATTGTATATATAATTCAATTCAAAATAAAACCTTAGTTATCAATTCAAAATAAAACCTTAGTTATCGAAGGTATGTTTTGTAATATTTGTTTCCCTAACATATTTGGTAGTAATACTTGAAGGAAAACATGCATATTGCGAATTCGCTTTATATGTTTTACGAATTCGTTATATGGTTATAACGAATTACGGATAAAGCGAATTCGATTCACAGGTCCCTAGGACTTCGCTATAACCGAGTTTTACTGTAATTCATCAACACAAAGGATAAAGAAATGTAATGAAGTGTATGACATTTTCCAACAAAGCTTACTTCTTGTAACTTTTCCTGGCCCTTTTTATGGTCAGCATCACTGGCATCAGCATCTCTACCTCTAAGTATGGGAGTCTCAAAACGCCTCTTAAACTCCTGGGCAGTACCTTTGAAAACAGAATCATAAGATAATGTATTCACCTTAGGAATAGTTTACTACATATGGACAAAAAATTTATTTATGTAATATGCAATATGTTACAACTTAAAAACTAATACTGTGGAATCATTTTAATTCGTGGGGGGTCAATGTTCGTGGGTAAGCAAAATTTTACCTGTTCGTGGGGATGTGATTTCATGGGTTACTCGGAAATATACGATGGTTCAATGAATCAATATGTTTTAACAAAATGTATATTCGAGGGGGTGTAAATTCGTGGGTAAGGGTGATCCACGAAATCCACGAACAATGGTCCATGAATAATAATGATTCTACACACAGGCACCTGACGTTACTTATTTTTCTTTTAATAAAAAAAATATACACATACCGAATAATAAACAAGGTACCCATCGAAACCCGCCATCTTGGATTTTCGAAGTAGGTCATCACTTGTATTTTCGTCTGAAACTCCGTCAAATAAATTCCCTGCAACCATATTCTTTCTGTAGCCAGTCTTTCGAGGTCTAAACTTACGGACACTGCAGCCAGGAAGGCGCATTACACTTGCAAATATTGAAAATCCCTCGTCAAACTCGACCTACTGCTTCAACATTCCGAGAAATCGCCAAAGGGGGGCCGGAAGTTTACATCAATATGCTAATGGGAATTCCGTATTTGTCAGTTTTGTGGTGGATCTATAAAGCGGGGTGTCATAATTACTTTGAAATTTTAATGAATATTTCGATTATAGAAATGAAAAAAATGCAAAATGGGAAAAATAAAACACTTCTTATAAATATACCTGTAAAATATACTATATTAATCTATACAGGTCGTTGCGTTAGAAACAATTTTGAATAAAAGAGAGGGGGGTGCTTAAAAAAAATCAATAACAAATCATCTAGAGTTAATTGAATCGTTTTCAAAAAACAATAGACTGCAAACCATCCAGTTATATATATGTATACATATATACATGGCATATGCTTAATTGAAAAAGGAGAAGGATCACACTGAAAAAAGGATATGTAATGAAATCAAATATAAGCCTATGCGACATGTATGTGTATAATCTGTCACCAAGAAAAAAATTAAAATGTCGCCATGTCACTACTTTATTGCAATACATAAAATTGCAGATCTCAACATTCCCTGGGATAATTTTAGTGTGGACCCCCCCCCCCCCCCCCCTCTCACGCACGTGCGTACATACTTATAAAGTCAATCTTCTGCACGGATAGCGCTCAGTCAGGGCATCAATAATGACAGTGTTATTAATTATATTTAGTGCATGTAAGTAGGGCCTTACAACCAACTCAATTTGTCTCGAAAATGTTCATTGATCAGCTAGCATGATCAGGCAGATCTTCGACATTTACAAAATATAATCGCTTTATTAATCAAGATATATCGAAATTATTTTGAGAGAAATAAAAAGAATGTTCTTACATGTATATTACGTTGTATTATTGTCTGAAATATTGTTTTTGGAATAAGTACTAACTTTCGCCGGTTATTTTTAAAAATAAATCGCACAAATATATTGACCAATCAAAAAAGGGCTTTCCCTAAGAATTTCAAGTCGTATGTAAACTTCCGGCCCCCTTTTGGCGATTTCTCGGAATGTTGAAGCAGTAGGTCGAGTTTGACGAGGGATTTTCAATATTTGCAAGTGTAATGCGCCTTCCTGGCTGCAGTGTCCGTAAGTTTAGACCTCGAAAGACTGGCTACAGAAAGAATATGGTTGCAGGGAATTTATTTGACGGAGTTTCAGACGAAAATACAAGTGATGACCTACTTCGAAAATCCAAGATGGCGGGTTTCGATGGGTACCTTGTTTATTATTCGGTATGTGTATATTTTTTTTATTAAAAGAAAAATAAGTAACGTCAGGTGCCTGTGATTCTACAGTAAGCACATCTTTAAAAAAAAAATCAGTTATTTACATGCTTTTCTAAAAAAATTATGTAATAATAATAAAAAAATTTAAATTAAAGATGGTCCTTTTCTGGTGATGTTCAATAATAAGGGATGATAATTTATGATTCTCCTGCTTAATACTAACTACTCTTTTTTACAGCATTACTTCTTAGCTTGACTCATATAATTCTTTCTAACAAAGAAAAAAAAGATCAATGAAATTTTCTGATAAAAAAAATGTAGAAAACATTAGGACAAAAATTACCCAGAATTCCTCCATTGACAAAGTGGACGAGACTGAAGTACTCCAATAAGTCATTCTGTATAGGAGTCCCTGACAACAGGACACGCCTCCTGGCCTTCAGTCCATTCAGGGCCTGGTAAGTCTGGTTCTCAGAGTTCTTCAGCCGGTGTCCCTAGGAATGAAAAATTGAAGGACGGTTTGGTACAAGTACTGGTAACAGAAGAACACATGAATCTACTTTAAGATGTCTTCTATTCAATATTGGTTCTTCATAATTTTAAGAAATTCCTTTAGAATCTCACATTTACAGGTATGCCTATTGCAAACCACGAAAAGTTGCACTTAACATTAAAGAAAAAGTAGATAATTGTAAAAATTACAATCAATGTATAAAATAATCTAAACATGTTTTACTTACATGTATATCTTTCAATTTAAATTTTCACCTGTTTCTTTGTTATAAATAAGTTAGCAAGTAAATGCTTTTGAATCTTTATTATTTATGAAACATGTAATTGTACCTCAGATTTCATACCATGTGTCAATATATGTATAGTGTAATTTCACTTTTACATCTACATGAAAAAACAAGGAGTATTTTTTCATGTACAGGTACATGTAGTTTATAACTTGCTGAGAGCTTACCTCATCACAAATGACTAGACCAACGTTTCCTTTATGCATCACAGCACTGTGAAGACGAAAGGTTTCATAGGAAATAAATAAAATTGGATGTGGATTTCTCTTTCCCTGAAGCTGCATAAATTGATCTAGGGAAAAAAAATTTAAATTACAATCAAAATATTATTCAAGTCATATATTACAAAACTGATCTGCTTCAACAAATTCTATACAAATATGCATTCACAGCAAAACAAAGTTTCAGTTTCATTTGATTAACATCTATTCAGGGTTTTATTTGCACCTACTCAGTTGCCTGTCTATTTCACTTTTGACTCCAGAATCAATGGCCAAACAGTTGATTTTTCCCCCTAACCATTTCTGAACTTCATTGTACCAGTTCTGGAAAAAAAAAATCAAGATTCAGTTTAGTCTATTATCAAAGAGATGGATAAAGCATTGAAAGCATTTCATTGGATACTTCTAAAAGCATGTATTGAACTCAAACTGCATCAAAATCTTATTTCAGGTAATTTTAAAGCATTACAGACTTTTAAAATAAAATTTGTACAGAATCATTTGTTAACTCAATCTCAAAAACTTTAAATTTAAATAAGCCATACATACATAGGTTATAAACCTTACTTGTTATATCCTTTAGCATCAAAGTATGTTTAAAACACACGGAGAATGAAAACCACTCTGTTGTAAGCATCAATTCATTAAAAGCATGTTTACTGTAAGCATGATTTACTGTACTTGTGCTTAAGTTGAGTTTCTGTATATGAAACGTTACATTGCATACCTTGACCAGACTACTGGGAGTGACCACTACCACTTTATCAATGAGTGGACAACAGTCAGGACTCTGCCTCTGGAAATGACCAAAAAATATTCTGTATCCTCCTCACTTATAAGTACCGGTACATGTATTCATTTCAAATTAAACTTGTCCTAACATATTATAAATAATTATGGAAGTACATGTACATGCATTATAATTCAATAAGAAGCATTTCTCTACTTCAGTATATGATATGAAACAGAATAGCATGAAACTTTGATCAAACCACAGGCACCTGAAAGTTACATGTACTTACTTTTCTTTTAATAAAAAAAATATAAACATACCTAATATTAGGTATGTGTATATTTGTTTCATTAAAAGAACCAGAAGTCTCTGTCGAGACTGAAGCTCTACTGGTTTGTACTTATAGCAAAGGAAGAGAAAAGTACTTAAATAAATAGAATAATGATCCTTGATTTAAAGTCTCTTTATGTTCTTGGTGAAGTCTACTTGCATGTCACATTGTATTATAATCAGACTAAAACTGCATGTATTTGGAGACGTAGCATTTTGAGAGTATTTAACAGAAATTTCTATATTTAGTAACCAAGGCAATAATGTTCATCGAAATCAAAAACCGATATTCAAAATTTTGTATCTTAGTGTAGTCTACTTATATGCCAAGTTATATTGAAATCAGACCAAAACTGTAGGAGGAGTAGCATTTTGAGAGTATTTAACAGAAATTTCTATATTTAGTAACCAAGGCAATAACGTTCATCAAAATCCAAAACCGATACCCAGAATTATGTATCTTAGTGTAGTTTACTCATGTGCCAAGTTATATTGAAATCAGACCAAAACTGTAGGAGGAGTAGCATTTTGAAAGAATTTCACAGAAATTTCTATTTTTAGTAACCACGGCAACACCGTTCATCAAAATCCAAAACCGATACACAGAATTATGTATCTTCATGTAGTCTACTTGTGTGCCAAGTTATATTGAAATCGGACCAAATCTGTAGGAGGAGTAGCATTTTGAAAGAATTTCATAGAAAATTCTATTTTTAGTAACCACGGCAACACCGTTCATCAAAATCCAAAACCGATACCCAGAATTATGTATCTTAGTGTAGTCTACTTGTGTGCCAAGTTATATTGAAATTATACCAAAACTGTAGGAGGAGTAGCATTTTGAAAAATTGATTACAGACAGACAGACAGACAGACGGACGGACGCATTACTATTGCATAAGCTCTTCTGGTCTCTGACCAGTAGAGCTAAAAATAAGTAACGTCAGGTGCCTTTGGATCAAACATAAGGTATACATATTTTGATACTTATCAAAATATTTTAGAAAAATGAATACAAACCAAAAGGGTCCACATTAAAGTTATACATTGCAGAGTTTTGCCCAATCCCTGTAAAAAAAAAAATCAAATAAGAATTAACTGACACACATACATGTAAGTGTAGGCATAATCAGTAACATCTAACAAATACATGAAACTAAATGTAAGAATATTGAACAAATAACTTATCCAATGTAATTGATTACTTTAAAAAATCCAACGAAATTATAATTTTACTGATTACTTTTGAAAGTAATTGACCACAATCCTGCTGAACAAATAATACATTTACAACACAAAATACCTATCTGTGAAAATGAGAGTAATGAAATATCTTTAGAACTTTTGACAATAACAATGACAGCCACTATTAACCAATTTTTTATGGAACAACAAATCGGACTTGTATACCATTTCATCCGCCATAATGCAACCAAAGTTGTCAGGAATTCTCTGGCCCGTGACACAGTCATACATGAACTTTACACCCTGTCAATTTAGTAAAACAAACACTTTGAAATATTTTCCAAACTGTACATATGGAGAGGCATATCACTGAAACCTTAATTTACCAGGAAAGAAAAGAGATGTATATATAATATCCAATCAGGCTTTCATAAATAATTCCACAATAGGAAAAAATAATTGTTACTTGCTTAAGACATAAGAGGATTTCTGATTTTTTAAAATTAATTTATCATTATAAATTAAATCAAACAAATGCTGGAGAAAGAAAAGAAATTGATAAATAACAGTATTCTGTCAGTGATTAGTAATTTGAGCTTCAGAGTATGGTCATTTTCAATAAAAAGAAAACCCTACAAATGTAGTATGATGCCACTGACCTCCCTTTGATGAGGCCTCAAGACTTTGGATAACACTGGATCCACCACTACATGAACTGGCTGCTTGTCCCTGTAAATACACACAGAAACATAAAGATTCTAGATACAGATTTCCTTTACAGAGATGGACATGAACTTTTTTTCTCACTTGTTCATCATGCAAATACATGTATTTATGTCTCTTAAATTATTCAAGGACTTTAATTGAAAAGAAGTTTGAAATTAGAAAAAAAATGATTATTTTTGGATTGGGAATGGGTCCAGCAACACAGGTCTCAAAACATGCCATATTATTATATTGAGTTCACAATATACATTCATAGTAAGAATATGCTAAAATGCTGATTCATGTCTTAATGAACAATCTACAAAATTGACTTTTGATAATTTTAGCAAATTATACAGACATGCAATCATTACCAAATAGTTTACTCACAAATCAGCCTTTAGTTGTTCATGGGCAGATAACTCAGGAGGAGAGTAGAGAATTAATGCCCCTTCTTCATTGGGATCATGAAGAGATTGTCTTGTACCTTGTCGTCTTATTCCAAGTGCTCTACCAGCAAGTGGTCCTTAAAACAAAATATGCTGAATTTGTACTCTCCAATATTTAGGATGGTATCCTTGTATTACTGTGTAAGTGGAATTTTTAGCGAGATGCAACTTTAGCGATTTGTCCTTAAAATCTGGTAATTTATTTTTAGCGAGATGTTATTTTCGCAATTTTAAAATGCACATTTAAGATGCTATTACAAATAAAAACGCAATTAATTCTTAGCGATATCCAATTTTAGCAATCTTGGAACCCTCGCTAATAATGCCAAAATTAAATCCTCGCTAAAAATTCTACTTATACGGTATTATTTACTGGAAAATTCTATGAAGAAGTGACAAAGTTTGTCTGTCTAAAAAATATATTTTGTATAAATACATTCAATGGTATCATGATGCTGAAGGTTTTAAAACTTACTTTAAGGAAACACACACATTTATACTGACCTTTGTAATTAGGTATAGGGACCTTAAATGGCTTGGATAATATCTTCCTGATAAATTCTTCCTATCAATTTTTAAGAAAATCACAGAACAATTTTATTTATAAAGAAAAATATTAAATGTATGGAAAGTAATAAGAAAGATTCGAAACAAATATAGTAAATAAATGTTTATTGATAATTCTGATACAAATTCACATTTATTCCTCTATTTCAGATAAATTTACTCTTAAATCAATGAAAATTGAATACAAGGGTTGCTAAATCTGTTCTTGACTTTAGACACCTGTGTGACTTACATGAGCCCTTGCATCTGGGTAATTGACTGAGGGCATGTTGGTGATTGTTGACAAGGGTTGCCTTTCATCTCTTTCACTTTCATCTTCATAGCGAGCTCGCTTCACCTGTAATTTAAAGAAAATTAACATAACTTGACACATACAGAGATACATGTGTATCTTGAATTTTCCAAAATCTAAAACTAACAGAGAAAATCATGTATTCTGAAACATAAACGAAAAGAGTGTTTAATTGTAATAAATAATACCCACCGCAGGTTTAATTTTCTCTTGTACATGTTGGGGGAATGAAACGGGTACTGTAAGCCTCTGGCTAGGGGCCTGACTTCTTCTCTGTTAAAATTAAAAAAAAAAAACAAAACATGAATGCAGAGGCCTTCTCCTGATGTGTCATAATTATTTGTAAATCATATATATACATGTTGTTTTAGTATTCTGAATATGATTTTTATCAAAGTATTATTACACTTTTGGAGCAAGCCCTGTGAAAAAGACTACCTCTTAAAGAATTGATGGAGACAGAAAACAGAAAGTAAGCTTTTCTTGTTTACTGTTACAAAGAGTGTGGTTTTATCATTTAATTCTAAAATATAGCCTGAATTCTGTATTGCAGGTTGCAATTAACATCTCTGAGAAATAAACCTGGCTGTCCAGTCTATCATTTCTAAGATATAGGTCTAAATTGTTTTTATTTATAAGGCAAGAATCTCATAGTAAATCAAAAAGAGAAGAAACTGCTTTAGTTCACATAGGTGAAACTAAATCCATTGATAGCATAATCATATTGCATAATTTAAGGGGGATGTCCGGCCACCTTAGGGGCTTTAGTGCAGTAAGAACAAAATGTAAACATTTCTTCAAATGGCTAAAATACATTATATTTTGATCAAATTTTAAGTCCTTATGATAAAAATACAATAAATATTAGGGATGGCAACGAATAGTCGACCATTCGACTGTCAGTCGAATGGACCGACGATCGAATAATGAAACAACATTAGAATATTTAAATAAATGCAAGAAAAGGGGATGATAATGAAATTTTCATCTCAGAATTGAAAAAGGGTCCATCCTCAAACTATGCAGCTGTAAAGTGTACATCTTCAGACGAATAAGAGCTCAAACACAGTCGCAGTGTATAAATAATTTTCCACAGTTATTACATACCGCGATAATCATTTCTCAATCACTGACTTTTTTGTTATTGTACGTAGTAAATTATACAGCGCTATACTGGACTATGAAAATTATTTAATTGACTTGTACCAATTATATTTATAAATTCTAGCAATTTCAGATGCTTAGGAACACACAATATTTGCATAACCGTGAAGGTGGAAAGTTCGATATATAATTATTAAACCAATAATCTTGCTTAAAAGACATTTTGATATATAGCTTGGGCAATCATTAATTGAACAAACGGTATTTAACATTTTTATCGGAGGTTTGGATAGTGTGTGTTTACACTTCCCCATTTCCAATTTCTTTAAAATTTCCAATTTAATTACACAGCTCTCGAAAAAATGTGCTAAAAAAATAATAAATGCCCCGAATAGTCGACTATCGTTCGAATAATGCAATCGAATGTTCGACTAAGGAAAATTAACATTTTGACATCCCTAATAAATATGCATAAATGAATGCATGTTGTGCATATATTATCTATACTTTTGCAGAAAAATGCTTTTGATATGCTCCTTAGAACTGCGCAGCTACAGAATTCAGCAGAGCCATGAGAAAATGTCTAAATTTTGCACCTTTAAATGGTAATTTCAAGTTCAAAACAAGGTACTGTTGTCTTCAAAATGAGTGTAAAGCACCATGAAAGTAGTTCATGGATAGCAGCACGTGGTCTATTTTTAGCACAGAATTTTATTTTCCAGACCTCTTCTTGATATGGAGGTACATAATAATCTTAAAAAGTAGAAGAGAATTACAGTTGCAAATTGTTTCAAATAATATGAACACTTTCAAAAGAGGAAATGTGCTATAGTGTGGCTTAAAGTAGTTAGTATTATTATCGAACAGTTGTGAAATAGTGTACGTATTGATATAAAAAAAAAATACTTACAGTCTTTGATTCCAGGTAAGGAAAAATGAGCACCATCAAAGTTCAAAATTAAGAGTTTGTAAGTCTGACACAGATAACTCATTTTATCTATCAAAATCTTAATTATTACCAATGAAACACAAAGAAAATTAGACACATAAAATCAATATGAATGACCTTGTTTTAGTACCTACTGGTATAGTAAATAAACATTTACAATTTTCATCACATCGGAGCACCATTTGAAAAGGAATGAAATCATTCAGAGTGGGTTAGGAGATTTATGTACTGAATAAAAAACTTTTTGTCTATTTGCCCATATTGTCAAATTTACAATTTTACAGAGTAAAGAAAAAATTCAACATAATTAAGTATTTTAGACCATCTTTAAAATGACATTTGGTGGTCCTCCCAACTCAGGGAAAAGTTATTGGGTCCGTATTTATAGGTGAGAAAAAATTTTTCCTTAAAATTTAAACATATTTGTTGACGAAAAAAAAAAAAAAAGAAGAAAAAAATATTGTGTAATGGGATGTAAAAAAATTGAGTCGGGCCATTTCTAGGCAGGAGGTCAGGATCGAGAGAGGGCAACCATGCAAATATTTTTATAAAAAGTGGTCTTAACAATATAAGGCTAGTACATATGTTCCATCACATACTTAGTAATGCAAAATTTCTGAAGCTTTGGCACTATTTTGAAAAACAAACATAGGATTTTCGGGGGGGGGGTTGCCTCTCACTCTTTTTTTTTGGCGAAGATAGACATAGCATATGCAATGGACCTTTCTTTGCAAACATTGTGCTCGCTTCTAAATTTCAAAGAAACAACTCAATATATTTTATCAAACTTCATATGTTAGTGAGAGCTTACAACTTTGTCAACATAATGAGACATGATGTGTTTTTATGTCCAAACATTACTCCATACAATGTGTGGGTCATCGCAAACAATCTAGATATTTATGTGAGGTGCAAGGAAATCCTAAAACTAACTATTTTTTCTATCTAACTGCTAAACAAAATAGACATATTTACCAACTTTTCGAATGTAATACATGTAATTACAATTTGTTTTTCATGCACCGCATATTGTTTAACATTTTCAAATTAAAACCTAAGCATCCTCCTTGCAGAGCCCCATTTGAAAATAACTTCTATTGCCACAGAAAAGAGACCCGCCGTAAACACATATGTTTAGGACATGTTTCATCTTTTTTCTTGAGTTTTAAAGAAACCAGCAAATTATCAAGACTTGTTCCATGAAAAATTAAATATAACAGTCAGGGGTGTGACTGAAATCCATCATTTTTAAAAATGATGGATAATGGTCATTTCTTCTAAGTATATAATGTACACAATTTTCTCATTTTTGTAAATATGACGTCTTTTCATCATATTTCCATTCTCAAGTCAATTTTCCCATCCCATTTACTACAGTAATTAGATATAGTACACTATCCTGCCATAGACCCTTGTGTAGAGAAACATCTTGACAAGTAATTGAAACCAAAATAATTTAGTGCGCCCGTAAAACTAATGAGATAATTAAGTGCGCCCAGACCTAACAATTTGATAAAAAATGATGAAAAACAGTCATTTTTAATATCAGAGATAACTCTATTTCTAAAATAAATTTCAAAATAGAAATGACTGTTTTTCATCATTTTACTAAAAAAAGATGAATTTCCATCATTATTAAAAATCAATTTAATGACTGAAAATCATCATTTTTAAAAATGATGGATTTCAATCACACCCCTGACTGTATAATCATGGTAAAAAATGCATCTATCCACAACAGATATATGCGCATGCCAAACATGTGCTCAGTGGAATGATATGAAAAAGGAAATTCGAGCAATAAACAGAACATTTTTCCCGATTTGCTGGAGTGGGGTTAAAACTGCGTTTTTTTTCATCAATCAGACGATGCGATGCAACAATTAAAAGTAGTAAGTTATATAACCTAAGGATTATTACTTAGAAAGTTCTTGTCTTGATGCTGTTATGGTCGCATTTATTCTAAAATCAATGTTATTTGAACTCTGTGTGACAGAGGAATGGCGGATAATGAGTTAATGACAAGAAAAAAGCGAAACAAATGGTTGTAGCCATATTATCAATGAATCGAACCGATATCATATTCAATGCATTTTTCATCTCGTGAATGCTGTAGCTGCGCAGTTCTAACATGAATAATTTCCTCCTAATTAAAACAAAATAATCTTAATCATGTTAATTATTTCCTAATTTTGGTCTCTAACTGTAGGCAATGAGTGCATTAGCACTTTGAGTAACTTTGGGCTAGTTTGGTAGAGTATTAAGCACATTCTTGGTATAGATCTATCTTATTTTACACCAGACTTGATCCAATATGGCTTGTTCATCCCCCTTAACCTCCCGACAAGTCTGGGTGAAAAAAAAAATGGAAGACAAATATGAAAATAAAATGAAGCGCTTACCATTTCAATGATACTTCTACATCTTCTTATTCTAAAGTATAAAGAATATATATAATTTTCTAAAAGTTACACCTATGAAAATCGCAGTATCGATTATTTTTTCTTCAAATTAAAAATAATGCTTTCGAAACTAGCGGTTTTACTTCAACTTCCGGTTGAATGGAATTAGTTAAGTCGTACTAAAACTATTCGCATTACGGTTCCATCAGCCGGATAAGACAGAAAACTTATAATTTTTGTATGTATAAATATTTCTAGAATTAATCAATCAATTTTATAAGTATTAAGTTCATTTAAATCAGTATAAAAACATTGCTACTGACCTTCATTAAAAATCATAAAGGTACATGTGTTGTATGAACAAAACTGTTTTCGAGTTTTAATACTTAAAAAGCCTGATGTAGGCCTAGCTCCAAATTATGTAAATAGGGAGAAATAATGTGCAGTATATTCAAGATACTGTCCCGACGTAATTTGTTCAGTTACCTTCAAATTTATAAGATTTTGCATGAAGTCGATTCTTCTAAATTTTAATTTGGCATTTTTATACATGTGGTATAGCCACATGAGGACACTTTACTGTAATAACATTTTTGATTAATAGTATATCATTCTTTGTGTGTGTGTGTTTTACAGAATCAAGTGCCTGTGATTAGAATAAACAATCCATTTTTTATTCCTTCGGAATTGAAGATTCGAGTGTATATATATATGTAGTTTTTGCCCTGTCCGTCCGTCTGTCTAGCTGTTTGTCCACCAAATATTTAACATTGCAAATAACCTTTTCCTGTGTTGGGGATGAATTTCATATTTTACAGGTGTATTCCT